GGAGGAAGGAAGGAAGGAAGGAAGGAAGGAAGGAAGGAAGGAAGGAAGGAAGGAAGGAAGGAAGGAAGGAAGGGGAAGGAAAAGGAAGGAAGGAAGGAAGGAAAGAAGGAAGGCCGGGCAGCCATAGAAAACATAGAGTGAAAATACGGTATAAAAGATGAAAAATGGTTCACCTCTATAAGGTCCTTACCATAAATGGAGCTTGCAGGACTGGAAGTTGCTCTGGGTAAGTCACAGAGTGAGTGGTGAGTGAATATGAAGGCCTAGGACATTACTCTACACTACTTTGGACTTAGTAAATACTCTACACTCGGGTACACTAAATTTACAAAAAAAAAAATTCCTCTCTTCAATAATAAATTAACCTTAGGTTACTGTAAGTTTTTCACTTTAAAAACTTTAAAATTTATTTTAACCTTCTTGACTCCTTTGTAGTAACACTTGGCTTAAAACAAAAACACATTGTACAATTTTAAAACAATTTAAAGAGTGTAGTTGAATTGTTTGCAACTTAATAGACAAATGCTTGAGGAAACGGATGCCCCATTCTTCATGATGTGCTTGTTTCACATTGTGTGCCTGTATCAAAACATCTCATGTACCCCAAAAATATATACACCTATGTACCCACAAAAATTTAAAAATTTAAAAAAATTGTACAGCTGTACAAAAATTTTTCTTTCTTTATATCTTTATTCTATTACTTCTATTTTTTAATTTTTTGATTTTTTTAACTTTTAAACTTTTTTGTTAAAAACTGAAATACAGATATTTATCAGCTTAGGCTCTCACAAGGTCAGGATCATCAATAACACTGTCTTCCGCCGCCACACCATGGAGGTGACTAGAAGGGGACAATAATACGCAGGGAGCTGTTGTCTCCTATGATGACAATGCCTTCTTCTGGAATATCTCCTGAAGTTCCTGCCTGAGGCTATTTTACGGTTAACTTTTTTTATATAAGTAGGAGTATACTATAAAGTAACAATAAAAGTATAGCATAATATATAATAAGCTAATAAGGGTCATTTAGTGTTATTATATACTGTACATAATCATATGTGCTAGGCTTTTATACAACTGACAGCACAGATTTGTTTATATCAGCATCATCACAAAAATGTGAGCACTGCCTTGTGCTACAACATCATGATGGCTACAGCATCACTAGGTGATGAATGGAGTTTTTCAGCTCCATGATACTGTTATGGAACTGCCACCACTGACTGACTGAAATATCTTTATGTGGTAACTGTAGGTAAGAGAAAATCACTGGGGCTATGTAATAGGTACACAGAGGTTTGTTACACCAGCCAGTCTAGTTGTGTCTACATCTGAAATTCTGCAAGATACAAAAGTTAAAAAAAAAAAAAAAAAACATTTCTAACAATTACCTGTTTGCATTTGGCTAAATACCTGCATATGTCATGAAGAAACTCACCTGAACACAGGGTAAGATTAGCAAGTGGTCAAATCATGCAATACGGGTTTCTGCTTATTTTTCCTTAATCATAACATCAACATTAATTTGTTATATCTGTACTATTCTGCCATCAATAAAGCCATTACCACCAATCAGGAAATGATGTTTGCAATTATTTATATAAGTATATTTTAATTTTATGTGCCTCATTTCACAAGATTAAAAAAATCTTAGCCTACACTTCAATATGGCAGGTTACAATTATTAAGAACATACTGTTATTCTTCAAATTTTTAAATCTAAAAAGAAAGGTTTATGAATTTTTCTTCCAGACTCTACTATTTCACTGTTAGTTTAGTCCTTCAGCCTGGTAAAATGTAGCCACACTGGCATTAAATCAGTTCCTCTCAGCTTGAATTTTACATGAGAATTCAACAGGAATCTATATATCTGAAGACAACCCAGAACAACTGACAAGTGGGAAAGCACTGGCCAATTTTTCTTCCCCAATTTAGTTTCTCTCAAAAAAGCTGGAGGAGAAACACTTGAGCCAAAGAAAACGAGCCTGAGTTTGAAGTTTGAAGGCACAAATAACAAAAAGACCTGCGACACCAACTCATTAGGGGGCCACATTCTGTCCTTGCTCGAGCTCTAATATAAAGAGGAAGCAATGAGAGGCGGCCCCTCAGCACGACACTCTATCATTTCGAGAACTGCCTCAGCTGATAACGTGCAGGTCTAGGCCAGATTCCCCCCAAATTCCCATTTAAGCCTTTTGAAATGGAAACATAATTTTCCAAATGTCATTGGCAACGTTTTTTCTGCATGGTTTACATCTGATAAGAACTTGGACCTTAGATGAAAACAAACTGAAATCACGGAAGGCCACCATATCCATTTTGCATGAATGATTTCTCAAGATGGTGGCTGTGATTCCAGTGAGAGCTATGCCTGGGGAGCCCACATTTTTACCTGAAATGAAAGAGCTTGGGTCTGGCTGAAGGGATCGAAACTGATTGACATAGTACTCGCGCTGTTCTTCTGTTATCCTCCAGGGTTCATCGAGGTAACTGCTGTTATCCTGTAGTTCTCTCTCCACTGAAAAGGACTTTAAGAACAAATTTAAAAGTAAATGCTCAGAGAACCTGTCTTTAGTGAGATGAAGTAAAAACATTAAACACCAATAAAAGTTATTGTGTGTTATGCTTAATTTTTTTCCTCAATTGAAGAAATTTAACTTCCTCATAACTAGAATCTAACCAGAACATAAATTTAAAGGCAGACATCATGCTTTATATATTTTCTGTATTCCTCAAAGTTAACAGGACTGAGGCATGAAATACTGAATACTAAATGACAAAAAAAATTATAATTGTAATGAAGGAAGGGTTAAAATAAGATGATCATTCTTATCTTCCACTATTCCTCACATTTTTGTCCTTTCAGATTAGCTGAGTAGATAATAAAATAATCTGA